ATTCATAGAATTCAAATAAAAAAAAATTATCAAATTTGGTCCAGTGGTTGTGGAGATAGCTTCGCTCAAAGTTTTTTAAAAAAATTGGCGCAGCTTTAATTTAGATAGACGTTTCGATTTTTCTTCAACTTTGAGCGAAGATATCTCCACTACCACCAGACCAAATTCGATGAATTATTTTTTATTTAAATTCTATGAATTCGTAGAATTCAAATACAAAATTGAGATAGCTTCGCTCAAAGTTTTAAAAAATTGGTACAGCCTCTATTAGTCTATTCTATAAAAGCATCAAGAACGTAAATCAATTTTGGGTACATTTTAGACCTATCAAAAAAGCAACCGTAGATCTATCAAAAACGATACTTTTGCTACTGGGGTAGTTAGACAAAACTTGATCCGATACTTGTGACAGTTTCTAAATTCAGGTCGTAAGAAACTTTTAATTAACATTAGTGCAGACTTTCAAAAGTAACTTCAAATTTTTATAATAATCATTGGTATGTATTTATGATTGATATTTCTCTAAGAAAAGAGCTTTAGAAAAATTTATTAGTACTTCAACGTTAACGTTAAAGCACTATTAACGTTATGCAATATGTAACAATATAAATGCAGATCATTGAAAATTTCACTTGAGATATTATCTGATTATTTTATTATGATTAGTTAGAAATAGATTTTTAAAGTCTATTATATCTAACAGACAAAATTAACTTGGAGCTCTTCGAACGCACCAACTTTCTTATATCTTCTGATCCCAATCTATTGTTACCTACATTTATAAACGTTAAAGTATTATTGAGACGGAGAGTACGTGCTAAAAATTCTCCTTCTTCTGGACCAAGATTATTACCACGAAGATCCAAGGATGTCAAGGTAATATTATTGCAAAGAGCAACTGATAATGCTTCTCCTCCTGATCCTATATTATTATGACCGATATTCAAATTTTTTAATGAAGTGTTTTTACCAAGCCCATCGGCTAACGCTTCCGCCCCATCTGGTCCAAGCCTATTCACACTAAGATCCAGGGAAATTAACGCGATGTCCTTGCAAAGAAACTTGGCCAATGTTTTTCCAACTTCTGGTCCAAGTTCATTTTCGCTAAGATTCAAGGAGGTCAACGTGGCCTTCAATAATGGTTTTACCAGTTTAAATTTTCGTTGATTACGTCTGGTTCTTTTTTCGTCGAGAAAATCGGATCCAATTTGATTACGTTTAAGATCCAAAGAAGTTAGATTTGGATTCTTAATCAGGAGTTTTTCTAGGGAATCGACTGTTTGGACTTGTAATTCAACGTACGTTAATCTAAATTCCAATGAAGTGATAGTAGGTGTTTCATTTAGGTATCCGATAATTGGTCTATTTTTAAAGGTCGTTTCATCAATATACATATATTTGAGGGCTTTGGTGGTTCTGAGAAGCATCTCAGTTAAGGCTCGTATGGCGCCATCTGGTGCATCGTCAGGGTGTCCTAACTTTTTATTTAATCTTTCATGATTTACCCATCTTACAATTCCCCTGAAAAAATTTTTGTCGATAGATGTGATATAATTTGTATAACTGAATAATGACTTTGTGCCGACACTTGGAAGAGTGAGCTTATAATGGTTTAAAATTGCTCGTTCTCTGGTATCTATCATTAAAAGCATTACTCTTATAAATTTTCCTTTTAAAAAACAGTGTCCTGGTTCACTCCACAAAAGTGGTACAATAAGCGAACACCATTGACGGCTGACTCGTGCACATCTATATAGGGCTTTGTGCTTACATGGTAGGTGATAAAGGTAATTAAAGACCATAATATAACATTCAGTGGGAAGTTTAGTCATTGTTGAGAAAAAATTTTAGAAAGTTGAGAAAAAATTTTAGAAATTTTAAAAGTACGTATTTCACGTACTCACATATCTTGGTATATATATCTGATATTTTTGTGCCCCAGATGTCAATTTGATAAACACCCTAATTTTTTTATGCTGATAAATTTACATTTTGGGCAAATTGACATCTGGTATATAAGAATAAACAATTTGTGAAACGTTGGCAAAAAATTTTCGCGAAATCTTTACAGTCCAATGAAACAAAAAAAAAAGTGCGAAAATACAAGAAAAAGTATCTTGGTGCATTAATAAAAAGTGCCGGGAGAACAATTTTACCTAGAGAGATCTAACATAAAAGTGCCGGGAGAACAATTTTATCTTCTAACCCTAGCTCACATGGCACTAACTTGACACTCTTACTATCAGTCGATCGAGATCAGGTGAAATTTTTTTACTATATCGATATGGATGATTATTTTCGAAAAGCACTGCACACATCCTCATAATTACCGGATCTGGAAGTCATGTCTGAGTATCCGTGTATTTTCCCACTGTTTGCACTGACCAGTTACCGGATCCGGAAGTTGATAAAAAGTCATGTAATTTGCTGCGCTGCCCGGAGTTGCGTTGACTGGTGCACGATTTATATTTAGATGTGTCTTGTAATCTTTTCGATATTTTTTTTACTAAGGTAACCCATTTTATTTTTTGTTCAACGACATATAATTACGCTATTAAAATTAGAAAAATTTTTCTTTTCATAAAATTTTAAAGAAAAATCGTTAATTTGGTAATGATTATAACTTAATCGGAATATATTAGCTGATGTACTGTATTTTGAAAGATCACCAAACCAACTTCTTTGAATCTTAATAGGAATTGCCTGAATTCAAAGAAAATAGCATTAGCAGATGCACTTCGCAAGAACATCACACCGACTTTGGATCAGTGAAGGAAAAACGTTATTGCATACATTTTGCAAGAGTGGATGTATCGATGTTACACGCACGACTGATCACGTGCAACATATAAAAAAATTATTTTACAATACTAGATCATTCTGCTAGTACTGTACGTACGTACATAATAAACGGTATTGTAAATAATTTTTTTTGTATGTTGCACGCCGGGTGAGTGTATCGATGTTTCCTCCTGTTAGTTAAATATATACAGTATAAATTATATCGTAGGTGGGAAGTGGAATTCTTATAAAGACACCCATAATGAATAAAGCCGAACGAGTCGATAACATTTTCTATCTGGTATAAGTTCTTCGATGACTTCAGAACTTATATATTAATAAATTGAGTTCCTCTTAACAATTATAATACGTACTACATTAGAAAGACTATTGAAAATAATGTATTACGTTATTTGAGAAATAAAAATGTGTATAATTGCAGTATTTAACACGGATTAAACCTTCTAAACAATTTTATTATTGACCTTTCTGCAGAATATTACAAATAAAACAAATAATACATTATAATTTGTGCTAATAATAAATTTAAAGAAATGCCTTTAATAGATGCATATTTTTATGAAAAAATTCCAAAATGGCGTTATAAACTTTTTTGAGGATATTTTTTCACACACGACTGTAAAAGATTTAAAATTCAATAAAATGATAATCTATGAATAAAAACCCCTACCTTCAGTTTCGTCTTTATCAGATCTGATTAAATATTTCTTTTCTTCGGTGTAAACTTTTTTTAACAATACCAATATTAACCGCCATATCTAGTACATCTGGTACCACCATATTCGCATATTCGACTTGATCTACAAAAGAAAAACAATTAAAATTAAGCTTTCAATAATAAAATTAGAAACGTTTCCGTACCTCCCACTTTATAATCTCCCATTTTCAAAAGAAATTTTCAAAATAAAGTGAAATTAATAGAACGGACCGGATTTTTTTTTTACAAATTATGTCTTAATTAAAGGTCATTGAAATACAATATATGCCTGCAATAGGTCATTACAACAGTTTGAGGTTATTCAAATTTTACATCTTTTTGACTCTTTGTTTGTCGGGTTAACCTTTTTAGATTGGCAACGTTAAATAATTAAAAGTGTGATCTGAGGGAAAAATCTTAAAGGTACCAGCACAATGATAGTGAATATCGTAATCATCTAAGCATGTGTAAAATCAGATACATTTATATGGTAAGACCGAGAATGTCGTAACCTTCGCGATTCTACAGAAAATGTCGTAATGATCTAATGTTATATGAAATTACAATTGTTGTATGAAAATTTTTATTTTAATATTTAACATTAGCATAACATTGATAGTATTATTCTTACATTATTTTTAGATAACCATTACTACATTATACTGTTGCTGTCAAGGCTATTTCTACATTTTTGAATAATCGTTTACTTCATTTTTACACTGGTGAGTTCCCGTTATTCCATTCTTTGCATTTATCTTCATTTCTCTTACCACATCGTTATTTCTGGTCCATAAGTTAGGATCACCTACTGTAAAAAGGATAATGTAAGTTCATCTAATAAATGTAATAAATCACTCTTCTATCAAAAACTACATTCTTTTATAAAATAATCAATACCTAATGTTTGCGGCATAGGGCTAACCGTAGAATTCTGAAGAGCCTTTGTCAAAGACGGCAAAATCGTTGTCGGCATAGATGAGTTTAAGGGGAACTTGTTGGATGTCTCGTTGTTTTAGGTTCTCGAGGACAGGATTAAGATCAACCATTATCGGCTACCTCCTTTCATTTGCTTGGCTTGTTGGCTAAATTCAGCAACGTATTTCAAAAGTCTCTTCCCAGATTATGCACATAATTGATTCACTGATTCTATAATAAATGAATTACAGAAATGTAAAACTCATATTATACCCTGGTCACTATATCAAGATCGCAGGGCATAAATCAGTTATACCCTGGGCACTATGTGTATAAGCGGGGCTGAAAGTCCCGCTTATACCCAACTACCCAGGATATAACTATTACTTATCTATAACCATGATTGTTTATGGCTGCATTTGATTTACTCTGGGTTCTTTATAGGTAATTATTATGATTTTTGAAATCAGCTTTCGAATTTTATATTTATCTGTCTTTGATCTATTAACTTGGATATGGATATCGTTAATAACATCTATGTGCGAACCATATACAATGTCTTACTGGAATAGCAAACTGTAAGAATTTTTACAGTAACTTATTATGATAATTTCACTGCAAACTAGTTCACCTTAATCTCACATTGTGGTCACTGACATAGAGAGTAAATTCTGTAACAGAATTCTTTAGATAGAAAATCACAATAAATCCGACGCAAATTAATACAACATTAATCACTTACAATATCTCACTGGAATAGCAAGTTTCGTAACAAATGTTTTACAGTAATTCATGATAAAAAGTATATTATCAGCCAGGTTTCGTAGCACTTTTGGCAGTTAGATTTAAAGAAAAAAAAAAACTCGCATTTTTTTTTATAAATATTATTGTAAGATATTTATAATGTCAGTTTCTGCAACGTTCGTAGAATTTTTTTTTAAGTGAAGGCATTCTATTAAGTATAATTTTTAAGAAAAATTTACATTTTAATGAAATTATTTAAATAAACAAAAGTTACGATTGTTATTATATAGTAATGCGTTAGAATTGCATTAAAATATTTAAAAACAAACAGACTTTTAAGATACGTTTTAAATATTTAATGATGATTGCTTAGATTATGTAACAGGTGACACAAAATCGTTGGCAAAGAAATTTTTGAGAAACTATAATGTACATAATGAAAAAAAAAAATATTCATGTGAATTTTTTGCATAACATAACTTTGACCTGACGTTAATACATCAATGGTACCGACGCATAATTTAAATTTTTTACGTAAAAAAAAAATAATAAATAAAAGAACTTTGATAACGCAACTAAACATTAAGTTAATATAATGACTGCGAAATTCTAGATCGATAATTAGCTTTATTTTTTTGTAAACGTTTCAAAACTATTAATGTATTGTTTCTTATTATGGAAATTTAATGCTGAAAATGTATTGTTTCTTATTATGGAAATTTAATGCTGAAAACTAAAAAGTGCATATGCAAGCGATAAAGTTGACTTGCTTTAATTATTGTTAAGTAACTATATATTACGTATATTGCATTTTATTAATACCAATTCGAGTACCCCTACATACATAAGTATGTACGTGCCACAAGTTCAACTATCCCAATAGCCAGATCTATGGTCACAACCCAAATATACATATAAATATGTATGTATATGTTGTAAGTAACATAATAGATTCGGAATCAACTTAGATTATAACTAGGGTTGGGTAAGTTATCAAAATTTAATGCAAGTTACATTTTAGTTTATGTAAGTTACAGTAAAGTAAGTTATAAATTATAAAAATTACTATATAGACTACATATATAGTCATTTATGAATAATTAAGTATCTGTGCAAATCCTTGCTTTTGATTGGGCATACCTTTTCACAAGTAATTTACGTACGTACGTACGTATCTGAGATATATATTGTGTAATTTCTAATCTGTTTGCAATCAACTGTCAATTGTTTAGTAATAGCGGAAACTAATATGCACAGTAATTTAAAAAGCGTGATAAATAATTTTTTTTTTTTATATATATACTGGTATTATATAGAATTATTTTTATTAAATAGTATTGAAATTTTTATGCTTTTAAATTAGTTAAAATATTATAAATTAATTTATAATAATTTACTAAAAATTTTAATAATAAACTATATATTTAAATTTAAATAAAAAATTATATATAAATATATATATATGTAACCTACATTCGTTAGATGTAAGTTACAGTGTAACTTACAAACTTACATTTGCCCAACCCTAATTAGAACGGAATAATTATACTAAAAATCCCAACCCTAACCTTAAAAATTCTGAATTAACTTAAATTCTGTTACATGTCGATATATACGTATATACAAATTTATAATTTTGTGTATCGTTTAATTGTCCGAAGGACATTACAGCAGAGGCATAGTCTGTGTAACCGTGTATGTGCCCGCAAATTACGTATTTTGATTGGTCAATCCGAAATGTCCGTTTGCTTCGGACTTAAACAGTTTCTATCTACCTAGTACATACTGCGTTCGAATACTATATATATAGTATTCATGAACATGTTAATAATTGCCGTTACCAACTTGTTTTTAATTATTCAAAAAGAAATATCTTATTTTTATTTATAACTTATATTATAAAAGGATAAAACATATATATATATATAATTAAAAAAAAAAGAACTACAGTAGCTATTTTCTTGGCTTAATTCTAATTGGTAACTCCCCACAAGTAGTTGTTGCAGTACTTTTCACATCTAATGGAGCATTCATATCAACTAACTCAACATCATATTTCCCAAATAATGTTACCATTAATGAAAGTAATTCAATCATAGCTAATCTTCTTCCAGGGCAAATACGTAATCCACCTCCAAAAGTTACTAAAGAAAATTTATGCCTTACTTTATTATTCATATCTTTACTTTCATTTTTTTTATAAAATCGATCCGGATCAAAAGTTTCAGGATTGGGCCAATGATCTTTATGTGTATGAATACCATTAGTATTTATATGAATCACTGTTCCAACATCAAATCGATATCCGGCTATTTCACAAGGATTTTTAACATATCTTTGAAGTTCAATTACAATCGGTACAAGTCGGCTGACCTCATTAATAATTGCATCACAATATTCTAATTTTAAGAGGTCATCATATTTCAGATGAAAAGAAGTATTTGGAGGGAATATTGAATCAATTTCATCAATCATTTTTTGTTTAACTTGAGGATGTTGGCAAACGTAGTAGACTATAAAACTGAAAGTATTTGCTGTCTAAAAAATTTTTAACATAAAAAATATAATTAATATTGCTAATAAAAAATTAATATATTTTAATTATTATTACATTAAAGTGATACTTACAGTGTCAATTCCACCTTGGAAAGAATCAAGCAAGTTGCCTCTTATTTCAACGTCTGTCATTGGCCTAAAGATATTATCTCTAGCAATATTTACACGATTCGTATCTCTTTCTGTATTAGAAACAATTAAAGATGTCAACATATCATTTCTTAATTCGGCTCCTATTGGCATCTCATCAAGTTCTTTTCTTCTTTTCTTAATCATTGTATCTAATATTTCAAACAAGTAATCTCGATTCTTAAGTGTTGATTTAACCTGATCTTTGATAAATGGCATGTGATGACGTAAGAATGGGCTAAAGTATAGAAAGAATATAAATCCGGAAAGATGATTCTTAAATCCTTGAATAAATTTTTCCGAGTCTTTAATCACTGTATCAGAGTGGGTTACTTTTACAGGATTATAAGAATTATGATAAGAAGCCATTGAATAGGATCTTTCTCCGGTGATTACAATTGTAATCATGTCACATGCAAATCTATGAGCCCATGTCATTTCACGGCATTTGGTGTCATAAATATCATCAGAAATGTTCACAGGTGAACATATAGGGCCATGGAATATATTCTAATATTTACATATAAATATTAAATAGATTAAACATCATTTTTATATTGTTGTATTTTCTTTCTTTTACTATTATTCTTTGTTGTGGTTTAATCATTTAAAAAATCTAGACCTTTGAATTAATGCTACTACAATAAAATTTATCATGTTACTAAAATTCATCTCAAAGTAGAAATGGTTTAAAGTGGAATAATTTACAATAAAAGGATGAAATACAATATAGGGGATACCAGAGTTAATTTTTCAATCAAAATTTATTGTGCAGATACCGCATAATTATTCCGTGTGGTAATAAAGCCAGTTTCGTTGTAACTATTTTAACTATGCGCGCTATTTATGTATTGGTTGTTTATTTTTGGCGCGACAAGCCGCACATCCATCGAAAGAAAGTGTGCACAAAATTTTGATTCTGTGTACTGTGCACAGTCTGCACAATGAAAAATAATCATTGGGTATACCTATTTTAAATCAATTGATTATTTATTAGGATGTCGCTTATTTTATATTAGAAGGAAAAATCTTTTTATTTGATTTTTGAATAAAATATATATTTGATAAAAAATTTTACTATAAGTTACAAAACTATTTATATAATTATAATAAAAAGTTTCACAAAATTGAAGTATGTGTTCTATTTATAGATTATCATTTAAAATTCAATTTACTCGAAAATTTTATATGTAAAAAAATGGGCGGTTTTCAATACGTAATACCGGTACCTCAGATTTTTATCCAAAAATGAATTAAATTAAACTATACTTAGAGATTGATTTTATTAAGGAGTATTTTGTTATTTATTATACAAATACAATAAAGGATGATAATAAAATTTATTGTTAACATGTAAAAATCAACATTCTGATCTAGAATTTCGAGAATTTAATTTCTATTCAGCCAATTATGTCGTACACATTTCCGGATGCATAAAATTGATGTAACAATTGTATGCATCTAATTACTGACTGAAGGCCGACCGATCGAACCTAAAAAATTCTAATATATACAAGCTTAAATACGAAAAAAATAATAAATAAATTTGATGCAGAACAGTGAGAAATGAACAACGTTAAATAACACAAATAAATCTTAGCGGCACAGGCAAATAATGGTATAAGATAATATTAAAATATACTGCCAAAAAAGGTTCTAGTCAAAAAAAGGAAATTTGGCAATCATGAGTAACGGAAAAACG